CGCCTCCACCAAGCATCTGGGGCAGCATCAGTGCCGTTAGTGCTCGGCCTTGGCTTGGAGCTGATCCCTGCCAGAGATAAAAGCGACCACAGGGCCCCGGCATGGTGAAGAGGCAGCCGAAGGCTTGGGTCTGTTATGAGAGCGGGAGCTGGCGCCCACTCGTTCTCGTTGGCGCCCATCACCTGCACGTGCCCGCGAGCTCGGTCCGTGAATGGGGAGGCAGAGACCTGCGTTGGGCTGCCTTGAGGTGCAAGGGAGGCCCCTCTGCTGAAGGGGGCGCCTGCCCAGCCTGGCGACAGGGAGGCTGGGGAGCAGAGGCCCGAGGCTGCTTCCTGGGGGGCTGGAGCTCGGCAGGTTAACGGTGCGTGGCTGGGAATTCCCTGCCCGCTCGCGTCTGTGTCTCGCTTCTGTTCTGACTGTGCCGAGGACAGCAAGGGCCGCCGTGAAACTCGCACCCCAGTGCAGTTTGCAGGCTCTCACTCGTGGTCTTGTGCTGGGGCAGAGGAGGGTGAAAGATAGGCTGAAAATAAAACCTTGGGCTGTGAGACCGCAGGCTCTGGGACCACCAAACAGCCACAAATGCCACATCTGGAGGAAAGGGTCATGCAACCCAGTCAAATATGCTGAGGCTGCCTAGTCCTGGTGTCCCTCTGCTCTGGCACAACGTGTGCCAGCTTTGCCGTGCCAGTGCCAAAGAGAAGGATGTGGAGGAGAGGAAATCCGTGTGGACTGCTGATAGCTTGGCACAGGGACTGTGCTGTGCAGGTGATCTTGGAGCACGGCCAGGCTCCTGCCCAGCTTCTGCTGCCTGCCTTTGCCAAGGGGAAAGCAGAAGTGTGGTGTGTTGCTGGCAACAGGGGAAGCGGAATTCCCCTGGCAGCTGCCAGAGCCAAGCGTCCGGTTCCCTCTGCGCAGCCAAACCCAGCCCATGGGGCCTGCAAGATGAATCCCAGCCCTCCTCAGGCTGGACGCCTGGCTCTGAGCAGCTCTCGCTAGGATCGAGTCTTGCTTATGTCGTGATGTCAGGGCAGGACCCTCTGGATGCTCAGGGAGACAGACAGGTTGCATCCTGCTGTCATGATCAGGCTGAAGGACTGCCTGGAAAGCTCGGACTGCCTTTCTGTCTTGCTGCTGAGCTTTCCCTGGGAGAGGGCAGGATCACAGAGCTCTGAATTGGTGGGAAGGGAAGATGGCTGGAGGCAAGGTGAGGAGATTATTTCCCTCTGCGGCACTGGAAGATCTCTGCTCTTGATCACGATGCTCATCACTGTGGTTTTTTTTTTTTTTTTTCCTTTTAGGTTGGTTCATCTGGCCATTATACACTGTGTCCCCGATGTGGCTCTCTGCTGCATTGCTCAGCTGCCCAGAGAAGTGCTGGAGATCCAGAATGACCTTTTCCAGGTAGGCAGCTGTAACAAGGAAGGATGGCAGGTGCTACAGCTGTTCCCTGAATAGGTGCCAACTTTTTTTGTCCTTTCCCCTGGGCTTCCCCTACCCCCTTCCTCCCGAACTTGGTGAAGTTCCCATGTGAGCAGTCCCTTTCTGAGGAGGGGGAGAAGGCAGTAGGAAGCAGTAGGAATTATCCTGAAAGGGGCATGACAGTTCCCAGCACCACAGGGGGAGGATGTGCCCATACAGGCTCTTTACCACACACACCTCTGGGCACATGTTAGACAGCCAGGGCCCTGGGTCATCACAGATGCCTGCAGATGGTGTGGCAGCCACAGCATGACCATAGGAGAGCAAATAGCCTAGGACAGAGAGGAAGATCTGCCTGTTGAGATGGGCAGTCTGCGTGGGTGTTCCCCCCTGAGCTGAGGTGTGGGGAGCAGCTGGGCAGCAAGCCTTCTGCGGTCTCTCTGCAATAGCCACACTTAGCTCTAGGACAGAGAACTGCTCCTACACAACATCCTGCCCACGCTGCTCTGGTGGTTTGTGTAGGTTGGCATTGCTGAGCAAGCCTGTCTGGCCTGCTGGAGATCCCCCACTTCCTAATTTTTGTCCCCACATCCTCACTAGACCCCACTGCACTTAGCCGTGTATCTGGAACAGCCCAGTGTGATCCAGGCGCTCATCCACAAGGGAGTCAACCTTGGCCTGCAGGACCGCAACGGCAACACCCCGCTGCACCTGGCCTGCGAGCAGCAGCGGATACAGTGCGCCCAGCAGCTGCTGCAGGGCACAGACGGCACGGATGAGCCCGCTGGGTACCAGCAGGACCTGCAGCTCCAGAACTGGCAAGGTGAGACCTGAGGGCAAGCCCAGACCTGCGGAGATAGGTGCAAGTGCCAGGATCTGCAGCTGAGTTGTGTATGCAAGGGGGGCCAGCTGCTGTGTCTGTGTCAGAAACTGGATGTTGCATCCAGTATTTACATTACAGAGCGTGCGTGACAACCGGGGATCAGGCCTGGCCAACATGGGTTCATGAAAGGCAGGTCCTGCCTGACCAACCTGATCTCCTTCTGTGACCAGGTGACCGGCTTAGTGGATGAGGGAAAGGCTGTGAACATGGTCTACTTAGACTTCAGTAAGGCCTTTGCCACCTTCTCCTGCTGCCTTCTCCTAGAGAAGCTGGCAGCTCAAGGCTTAGGCAAGTGAACTCTTCACTGGGTGAAGAACTGGTTGGATGGCCAGGCCCAGAGAGTGGTGGTGAATGGAGTTAAATCCAGCTGGCGACCGATCGATAGTGGTGTTCCCCAAGGGTCGGTGTTGGGGCCGGTCCTCTTTAATATCTTTATCGACGATCTGGGTGAGGGAATTAAGGGCACTCTCAGCAAATTTGCAGATGACCTCAAGATGTGAGGAAGAGTTGATCTGCTTGAGGGTAGGAAGGCTCTGCAGAGGGATCTGGACAGGCTGGATCCATGAGCTGAGACCACCCGTATGAGGTTCACCAAGGCCAAGTGCTGGATCCTGCACTTTGGTCACAACAACCCCGTGAAGTGCTGCAGGTCTGGGGCAGAATGGCTGGAGAACTGCACGGCAGAAAAGGATCTGAGGATGGTGGTTGACAGTCAGCTGCACATGAGGCAGCAGTGTGCCCAGGTAGCCAAGAAGGACAATGGCCTCCTGGCCCGTATCAGGAACAGTGCAGCTAGCAGGACCAGGGAAGTGATCGTCCCCCTGTACTCAGTGCTGGTGAGGCCACATCTCAAACACTGTGTTCAGTTTTGGGCCCTTCACCACAAGAAAGACACTGAGGCACTGGAGCGTGTCCAAAGGACGGCAACAAATCTGGTGAAGGGTCTGGAGCACAGACCTTATGACGAGCGGCTGAGGGAGCTGGGGTTGTTTAGTCTGGAGAAGAGGAGGCTCCGGGATACTTTATCGCTCTCTACAGCTACACTGAGAAGAGGTTGTAGGGAGGCAGGGGTCGATCTCTTCTCCAGAATAACTACTGATAGGACAAGAAGAAATTATCTCAAGTTGTGCCAGGGGAGGTTCAGGGAAAAATTTCTACACAGAAAGAGTGGTAAAGCATTGGAACAGACTGCCCAGGGAAGCAGTGAAGCCACTGTCCCTGGCAGTTTTCAAGAAACGTGTAGATGAGGCACTTGGGGGTATGGTGTGGTGTTGAGTGACTTACGGTTGGACTTGATCATCTGGAAGGTCTTTTCCAATCATAAGGATTACATAATATGCTTACGTTGCAGCATTGCAGTATATTGCAAGCTTTGTGTATGTTTTGTGCAGGTTATATCTACAGTAATCTGGGTGCATAACAATGAGCTTGGAGATGGTCACATGCCCCTGGGTGACCTGTAGTGACCATGGTGCTCTCTCCTGTCTTTCCACCCCAGGCCTAGCTTGTCTGCACATCAGCACCTTGAATGGGAACCTTCAGATGATGTCTCTGCTGCTTCAGAGTGGGGCCAACATCGATGTTCGGGTAATGTTGGGCAACCTGTAATCCCTGCTGGGGTGCTGCTCAGCCAGTCTCCCTTTTGCATCTGCAGTGCTGTGAGCTCCCTCCAGCCTTGGGACTGGCAGTGTCAGGATTGCTTTGGGGCTTGGAGATGCCAGATTTTGAGAGAGCAGGGAGGAAAACCTACTAGGGGCTATCAGGCGGCAAGGGGGGATTTGGCTGCATGACTGCAATTATGGCAGGGGCCTGCCTCCTTTTCACCTAGCTAAAAGGGGGAGATGGGTTCAGGGAGGCCCATCTGGGGGGACCCTGCACCCATGTCCTTGTCATCTGCTTGTTCCAGGAGGGCACGAGTGGGAAGACCCCATTGCACCTGGCTGTGGAGTGCCACAACCGCAGGGCTGTTCAGTTCCTGCTGTGCAACGGGGCCTACGTGGATGCCCAGATGTACAACGGGTGCACCCCGCTCCACCTGGCTGTGGGCAGGAAGGATGCTGCCATTGCTGCCATCCTCTCGCACTCTGGGGCTGACACGCTGCTGAGGAACATGGAGAATGAGACAGCCCAGGACCTTGCTGATGGCAACGATGATGTGAGTCTGCATGCGAAGAGGCCTCTCGCTCTGGGAGCCTGAAGGGGAGTGCAAGAGTCAGCTGTTTTGGAGTATTAATGAAGGGGAGCTCCTGCTCCACCCTGAGTCCTTGCAGGAATTTCTAGCTATGTCCATGTCAACCTCTCCCATCAGGGTGCATGTTTCCCACTGGGGGACAGTGGGGTGGCTGCCTTTGGCCTTGAGCTCTAGGGACAGCCCGGGTGTGGTTTATCCCTAGGGAGGTGGGAGAATCTGCAGGGCTGGCTGGGCAGTTCTGGGCCCCTACCCCAGCTTGCTGGAGACGTGACCCTACCTCCTTACATCTCTGCACCCTTGGCCTTTGCAGCTCCTCGCCCTGCTGCCCTTTGACGACCTGAAGATCTCGGGGAAGCCTGTTGTGTGCGCTGAATGAGTGGCTGGACAACTTCGGCCCATAGGGCTGCCTCCTTCCTCTGTGCTGTTGCCCGGATGCCCACTGGGACATAGTCTGCCTGCAGTTCAGCGGGTACAGAGCCAGCCTGGGAGATACTGTTCCCCTCTGCCCGCCTTGGAGGCCTCGGGCTGCCTTCCTATGTGGAGGAAGGTGACACCATGAACACTACAGAGGGGGATCTTTTTCCTGTAGGGTTTCTGCTTGGCAGGGTCTGTGCTGCAGACCAGCAAGACTGAATTTCCTGTCCCTGCCATGGACTAGGTAGATGTAGCTGAACTATGCAGTGGAGCATCCTCCAGCACCCCTGAACACTATCAGAATAAGTGTGGGGTGAGGAGAGTTAACACTCTAATAAATGTTTGTCCTTGCTGCGGGTGCTTGAGGTCTCATGTGATCTAACCCACTCCACTCCCCCGCAGCATCACAGAGGCAGAAAATTACCCTGATCCCGTGGCTGGCATGAGGCTGCAGGTGTTTCCTATCCTGCCCTAGCCTGCCTGTGCCCTCGGATCCTATGCCCTTCCTAGTGCAGCAGCAGGTGAGCACTGCCTGCTGTGGAGGCTGGCACAGAAATGGAGAGGAGGGCAGGAGAGTCCCTGCTTGCAGAGCCTTTCCGGTGTTCAAGGCCAGCTCTGGGAGATCCCAGCCTGGCCTGGCTTCTCATGCTGTCCGACCAAGCCTTCTGCCATGGGAGCTGAAGATGGTCTATAGGAAGTGCTGGAAGACCAAGTTACTGATTCCTGCTTCTGCTGTCATGACTGACACTCTCTGCCTTACCATGTTTTGATTTCCTCTTTGACAAAGAAGGTGGAAAGATCCTGATCTACATTCTGGCCTGGGAGGAGAGGGTGTTTAAAAAGACCGTGGATCTTCCCTGCACTTTAGATTCCTTGGGGCTAAAGGTCAAGGAGATGGCAGGGTTATCTCCCCATCCCTCCTGCTCTGCAGCTCACCACCCTTCCCTGCCCCCTCACCAAGCAAGAGGAGCATGTGTGAAGGAGTATTAGGGAACCAACAACTGAAGGTGCTGTGGGAACAGAGATGTTGAGTGTGTCTTACAGCAACCCAGCCAGGGAACTTCCCTGCTTGTTGCCTGGAAGCAGCTGCTATTTTGGGGGGCAAATCCTGGATGATGCAATCAGCTGAGATGCTCCAGAGCAAGCCGCCTTCTTTCTCTTCCCTCTTGGAAAGACAGATGCAAGGCAATGATGCTGGGAAAGCAGCATGAGCTTCCCCCTCCACCCAAGCATCTCTGGAGCTTGTTTGGTCTCTTCAGCAGCCCTTGCCTGGATTGCTCCATTTTTTGAGCCTCTATCTTCCACTGTCAGCAGGACCTCGACCCTGCTGCAAGCAAGCACTGTTCTGCTTGCTGGTCCCGACCAGCACCCATGGTGCGACATCCATGCTGTCTTTGTGGGACAGCAGGCACTTTGGTCTCAAAGCGGCCTGGCGTGGGAACGACGGCTGCTGCAGGGCTGAGGGGCCTGATGTTGCCAGGGCTTCAGCTGTGCAGGAACGGAGGAAAAGAGGTAGAAGCAATAGTGATTTTTTTTTTCTTAATAAATGCTTTTTGATATATATAAAAGAGCCTCTTGTAAAATAAATGCTGGGTGGCCACCTAGTGGTGACGGCAGCCCCACGTCCCGGCCCGCAGGGGGCCGCGGGAGGGCGCGGGGCGCAGGCCCG